TCCTGTCCATGGATATCTAATGGACTATCCGTTAGATTTGACATTCACTGTTACCACTAGGGGCGGGTTATTAGAAAAATGATGGGGGTCGGGAAAAAAACAAATTTGCGCCAAGGAAAACAAAAGAAAAAATTCGTGCAAACTCTGTGAGAAAACACGCAGTCTTGAGTCTGCCTCCTCCGCGGGCTCCAGGCACATATTAGTAGTATATGTATGTATGATTTGCGAAAACCGCAAATAATTGAATTTGTTCGTTTTTGAAAAACATTTCTGCCGTATATATCCTATAGTACTTAGAAATGATACGTTTGTATCAGGATTGGTCTAAATCATCGTTGGTCAAATAGGTTTTTCAATGAGTAACTTTCGAATATGAAAGATAGGTTAACGCCAGACAGTGTAGAGCAGATAAATTATCGCTATATCCAGTCCGAGATGAGCGACAGACACGTTCGCCATGCAAGGCTGTGCTGAACATAGTTGATCTGCGTTCTTCGGTCAGCGTTCTTGGAAACCTCGGTAAACTAGCTCTGCGTTCATGAAAGCCTTCATTTTCGCACAATCATAACAATCCTCCGTTTTAAAAAGTTTCCACTTTCAAAGCTGTCCTCGCGAAGCCCATTTTTACGGACGAGGGCATCTACAAGTGCATCTCAAAAAATTAGAATATTATCTCGCCATATGATTAAACTAGTCTGCGCACATGTTTGTATTGTAGTATATATGATGTTAAGATAAAAAAATTAGAAATATTTTATTTTTACATGCATTGATTTGCCCACAATAAAAGTTTCACTTTTTTATCAAATTTGCGCAAAGAAATATTTTCAAAGACATTCTAATTTTCTGATATCCACGTGAAAGTCTGTACTTTCCATCGTGTTAAGGCCCATTTACACGGGCGATTTTTGCTGCGATTTTCTCCTTTTGGAGGATATGAAGGAGTAGATTACTTAATGACGTTGTTATGAAATTTCATAACCTGGAACATTTATAACTCATCCACTCCTTCACATCCATCAGAAGAAGAAAATCACCCTAAAATCGCAGCAAAAATCGCCCGTGTAAACCGGCCTTAAAGGTCCATACACACCGGATGCGATTCGACAACGCGACGCGATTTTTCGATTTTAACTGACCGATAACTTTGATTCAACTTTTCCAAATATTTAGAAGCGCTATAACATTTTGAGTTATTTGGTCAACATATCTTTCAAAATTTGCTCTCAATGGCTGTTTTATTAATTTGAAAAACTAAAAAATCGCGTTGTTGAATCGCGTCCGGTGTGTCTGGACCTTTAAAAGACCCGTTTACGCACGGGCGATTTTTGGCGATTGTTGTTGCGATTTTCTCCTTTTGGAGGATGTGAAGGACTAAATTTCTTAATGATGTTGTTATATGAGATTTCATAAGGTCCAGACACACCGGGCGCGATTCGACAACGCGACGCAATTTTTTAGTTTTTGAAAGTTAATAAAACAGCCAATGCGAGCAAATATTGAAAGATGTGCATGCATGCATGTAGACCAAACAACTAAATATTTGGAAATTTTAAACTAGGATCACTGAATCAAAGTTATCGGTCAGTGAAAGTCGAAAAATCACATCACGTTGTCGAATCGCGTCCGCGGTGTGTCTGGACCTTTAGTGTACACAACCGGAGAAAATCCAAAGTTACAAAAGTATGCGTAATTTTCAAACGTGAGGACGGCTCCTTAGAATTACAAATTACTCGCAACTATTCCTCCAAGTGCAACACTAAACAGCAAAATATTTTATGAACTGTATGTCCTACCTTCGGACTCGATGTTTCTTCGTTGCAGTCAGCAAATACAATTGTTGTAGGAGATTCTGTTGTCGTATTACTTGATGATGATATACCTGTTGTTGGAATTTGACCTGATAACGGAACGCACATTAAAAATGCTACCAACAATTGACGCATCTCTTGTCCAGGGCCAAAAAGCATCATTGCAAAATGATTGCTTTAGCTCTAAGTATAATCAATGTTCGATCTCTAAGTTCCTTTTAGCAGTATGTCAGTGTCTGGTTGAATTACAAAAATGCTAAGTATATGTACATAACGACTGTGACGTCAGTGTTTTCAAATTAACCACTAGAAATGGGAGATGATTGCTAACATGACATGCATGTACATATGAAATGTTGATCGCATTAAAATGTAAACTGTAAAGTCGTGCATGATTTATTAGCGAGCTTAAGATGCACCAAATCTGCGACGCGGACCGGCGACTAAACAACGTCGCTAATAATTGGAGACTAGTTTTATACTTTGTTTTTCTCGTGTCCATGGCTTTGTTTAAGCAACAACAATCAATAATTTTTACCCGTGAACTGCGTGAAGTGAAACTGTGATAATAGCGGCAGATTTTCGTCACGTTCGCGTCGCATATTTGGTGAATCTTATGCTCCCTATTAACCAATCGGTAAGGCCGCGTTTGAAGGATTTAAGGAAACTATTAATTAAACAGATCATGATCAGTTTTATCCTCATGCCTCAAGTATCTTGAGGTTGAATTTGTATTATTATCCTGTTTATGACAGATATAAATTAGGACTGAAAAAACAGTAGCTATCCTGAAATAATTACCTGTACTATATCTATGTATATATGTATATATATATGTATATATATATATATATATATATATATATATATATATATATATATATATATATATATATATATATATATATATATATATATTTAACTCTAATATATTACCAACAAACTAAATTTAAAGCAGCGATATGTAGAGATACTTCAGGCTGAAAGATATGAACAGAATTTCGACGCTTGGAGAACGCCTTCAGTCGTCGGGACGTCGACATTGGGGACCTTAAGCAAACACGTCCTGACGTTCTCATGCCTTCGTCGACGACGGTAAATCAAGTCTTTTGACGTTCTTGTGAAAACGTTACTAGAATTTCGGATTTCTTGGCTGCTATATTTGTTTTACCTAGATAAGCTTAGCCCGATGTTTGTTTAAAAAGGCATTGAATCATTCTTATGTAGGTACAATTCGGTATTTACTATTGGTAAGAATTTGAAAGAGATTTGATATCAAGCTTATTACAGGGACTGGTCTATACCTGTATGGGTACGAAAGCCGCTTGAGCAACATACAAAGCCCTGTCAAACTGTCACATATTGAGCGTTGTTCGCATAACAAACGTTGCGGGATTTGAAGGTTTTCTGCGATAATTAGGATGTCCTGTTTGCGAAATCTGAACTCTGCCAAACATTCGTCTTCATCCATGTCATGCATGAAGGTTGAAATCAGGGTACAACCTCGTATTGGAAAATCTGGGGGGTTTTGAGTCGTATGAACAATATAAAAACAATAATTGTTCAAAGACTGGAACTTAGTCAGCGGTTATGTTATAGAAACGGGCTCAGCAAGATAGTCTAGCGCTTAGTCAGCGGTTATGTTGTAGAAACGGGCTCAACAATATAGTTTAGCTCTTTTTAAAACGATAAAATACGAACACATGTTTTGTAAAAGTTTTATTAAAAATACTCCTTTAAAAGTGAATAAAATGTAAAACAAAAAGAACTCGGAGTAACATTTGGAGGTCCCACCGAGACAATGGAAGGTAATATGTAGAAACATCGATGTTTGGGCGAGAAAATACGCGAGATTTATGATACTTTATATACGTGAGTTATTGACAAATTGTGGATATTGTATATATATATATGTATATAAAAGTTTAACACAAGTTCCACAACGGGAAGTTGGATGATCTACTGTTGAAAAATGTCCGAGGATTTGATTATAGAGCTTCAGTCTCGAATGCTGGGCTTAAAACGAATGGAATTAGCCCGATTTGGAGAAGAAATGAAATGGATAAAGGCAGAAGAAATCGGAGAAAAGGGTAGGTTAGAACTGGTTAAAATTATACGTACAGTATTTGAAGAAGAAGTACTTAAGCGTAATAGCGAGCAGCTTGACAGTCTATTTTAGACAGCAAAACAATGAGTCAAAATGAGGAAAGTGTGAAAGCAAAAGAAAAGAGTGAACAGGAACTGAAACAGCTCAAAACACAGTATGAAAAGTTACTAGTAGAGCAGGAAAAACTAAAAGATCAAATAAATACTGTCCAAACCCAAAATGAAACAACTGCGGACATAACTATAACTAGTGAATCAGTAACGCAACAAGATAAGCCACAAAGTGCATTTCTTAGCATGAAAACAAGCATGCTCCGTCGGGAATTCAAGATACAAGGACATATCGGAGAGCCAGGGCATAAAGATAAACTAGCATATCAGTCACTCATTTCACAGATTGAAATTGGGCTGCAAAAGGGTTACACAGAAGAGGAAATTACCCATGCTGTTGTTAGAGCTGTTCAGGCTGGGTTACAACTACGAAGTTACTTGGAGGGAATAAATGGGTTGACATTACCACGATTACGTAAAATACTACGCTTTCATTTCCAAGAGAAAAGTGCTACCGAGCTCTACCAGCTCTTGGCTAATATCAGTCAAGCCCCAAAAGAAAGTCCACAAGTATTTTTAATTCGTGCCCTGACGATTCGGCAAAAAATAGTGTTTGCATCAAAAGAATCGGATACCAAGATCAAATATGATGAAG